GTGAAGCAGGCCGTGGCTCTGCGTGGATTTAACCACAGGCTGGGTCCCTGTTTTTCTTTGATGGAGAAGCAGGATCCTTGCCCTGGAGGAGCAGGCCTGAGACCGAGGGTCGGAGACCGAGGTTCCCAGAGACCTGCCCAAAGTCCAGCACCCAGAGCCAGGACCCTCCCCAGTCCCCTTTTTCCCCAGATAGTGCCCGCGGCTGCCATCTTCAGTGACCTGATGAAAAGTTGCTGCCTTTAGATACACTGGTTCAGTGGTTGGTGACCCAGAGGAAGCTCAGAGAGGTTCACTAGTGTGCCTGGGATCACACAGCCTTGGTGCCCAGGAAGCCACAGACGGCCACCACCGGACAGCGTTGTCCCGTCAGCTCTGGTGGGGGTGTCGGGGATGGGGGCGTGGGGGAAGTGCACACAGAGCTTCCGCCCCCCTTCTCTGGCAGACGCTTTGTCCCACAGCGTTAGGCAGGGCGGGGCGGGGCAGGGAGGGAGTCCAGGTGGGACTAGGGACAGCCCAGGGTGGGCTGCAGGAGCCTGAGGGAGCTCATCAGTGCCAAGTTACAGGTGTGCAAAGGGAGATGCCAGGGTGAGCCCTGCGGCCACACCCCAGAGATACATGGAGGTGTCCATGTGAGCTCGTGTTTTTCAATATATGCAGCTTGACATGGGAAGAAGTGAGCATGTGGATATGTGGTACACACGCCACATACACTCATCACACACCACACACACACGCATCACACACACCGTACACGCCACACACACACATCACACACCACACACATGCAGCACACATGCCACACACATCACATGCAGCACACATGCCACACACACATCACACACGCCACACACATGCCACACACGCCACACATCACACACCACACACACCACACACATACATCACACACCACACACACACAGCACACACATGCATCACACACGCCACACACACATCACACACCACACACACAGCACACATGCCACACACACATCACACACACGCCACACACATCACACACCACACACACGCAACACACATGCCACACACACGCATCACACACACAACACATACACCACATGCACGCCACACACACACCATACACACCCATCACACATGCCACACACACCACACACACATGCCTCCCACGCATCACACACACATCACACGTGCCACACATGCATCACACACGTCACACACACCACATACACCACACACGCACACACACCTTTTCCTCCTCTGTCTGCGGAGGGGACCAGGGGCAGTGGCCCGTCAGCGGCAGCGAGCACAGCCATGCCCAGGTTGTGGCTTGCAACACCAGTCTCCGCTAAAAGGCCGCGGGCTCCTCGGAGAGAGGGCGGATCCCAGCCCGGGACAGGGAAAGCAGATGAGCCTGGAACACCTTACTGAGCCAGAAAGCAAAGCAGTGCTCAAAGAACAACCAGGACACATTGAAAGACCCAGGAGCTGTTGCACAGGCCAAATCTGGGACAAGTCAAGCATCCAGATGGTGATAGCAATGAATTCCAATCCGTGGAATAAAATGGGAACCATGAGTCCTAGTGATGTAGATACATTAATTAATTGAAAGTCTGATAAGGTCCAGGTTTCAAAGTATCTCCCCACAAACCATTCATTAACTCCAGAGGGGGAGCAGGTAGCTTGGTCCTGGAGGAGCTACCTCCTCGAGCCGGCAAAGTGAGCTCCGTCGTAATGGCACAGGCTGGAACTGTGCTCTCCCTGATGGGATTCAGTGAAAACAAGGCATTGTCTCCATGACGAGGACGCACACCCTGAAGTTCATCACGAGGGTGGTCGGCAGAATCATGGCCCCCAAGGATGTGCACCCCCGAGTCCCCAGAACCTGTGAATATGTGACCTTACACGGCAAAGGGACTTTGCAGATGTGATTAAGGTTACAGACCTTCAGATGGGAAGATTAACCCGGATTATCTGGATGGGCCCAATCTAATCACATGAATCCTTAAAATCGGAAAACTTTCCCAGCTGGGTCAGAGATTTGACGTGACAGGGACTTGACCCTCTTCCCCCATAGCTGGCTTTGAAAATGGAGGGAAGGGCCACAACCCAGGGAATGCAGTGTCCCGAGAAGCTGGGAATGGCCCTCAGTGCACGGCTGGCAAGAAAACAACACGAAGAAGCCGAGTTTTGCCAACAACCGAATGAGCAGGCAGACGACTCTCCCCTAGAGCTTCCAGAAATAGGCGCAGCCTGCCTACGCCTTGATTTTAGCCTGGTGAGATCCATATCGGACTTCTGAACTTCAGAACTGAGAGATGATAAGTTTGTGTGAAGCTGCTCAGTTTGCAGTGATTTGTATGACGACAATGAAAAACTAACACAACGAGGAGACATCAGACACACCCAAATGAAGAGACAAGGGTTAATTATCAAGCACCCAGATAGCGCCCCTCAAAACTCATAGGAACAGCTAAATAGAAAAATGGGGCAAAAATGAGGGCCGGCCCGTGGCTCACTCGGGAGAGTGCGGTGCTGCTAACACCAAGGCCACGGGTTCAGATCCCATATAGGGATGGCCGGTTCGCTCCCTGGCTGAGCGTGGAGCTGACAACACCAAGTCAAGGGTTGAGATCCCCTTACCGGTCATCTTTTAAAAAAAAAAAAAAAA